GACTAAACAGCCAGAAGAAGAAACAGCCAAGTATTCAAATACACACTTAAAACTGTTAGTCGATGGCAGGCCGGTGTGAAACCTTACATCATACTCTCTCGTCAACTGTTCAAATTCCTAAGGGACAGGGAGTAAGGATGCCTCAGATTTTGCTGGATTTCCATCAAAACTTGAATCAGAATCCTCGGTATCATAGGCTTGATGAGGACGCTTTGATGTCGTCCATGTTTCTCTTCCTTTACGTTTAAGCGGAGTCCTCGATTGCTCGTACTCTGATAGCGTAATAAAAACCGAAGGATAATCCGTTCCGCGGTTATTTGGGGTTCTTCTTCCCAAGGGAAAATGATTTGAGCAAACGAAAGTACCTTGTGCACCAGGCTTTGGGTTAAAGTCATCGGCTCTGCTGTTTGCAATTTGTTTTCGCCAAATTTCAGCAAGTGCTTGATCTTTGGGCCACTTATGGAAAACTAAATTTTCTACGTGAGGCCTCTTAACTTGATAATCAGGATAGCGTTTATCATTATCGCAATATCCAACTGCACAACGCGCATTTTTTACCATTTCGGCTATGACTGCTCACAGCTACTCGGCTAGTTTAGGGTTTAGTTCGTTTGACTTGACTTATGAGTTCCGTACATTTGCGAACTCAAGAACATCGCTCAAACGACGGTCAAGTTGTTCAAAGAAAACAAATGTTTTCTTTAACTTTTTGCTTTTTGATTACCACAAAATTGGACTCACGTGTATAAAAAATCGCAAATAATAATTCGACTATTAAAATGGACGAGTTTGGGAAATATTTTTGAAAGAAATGGCCAATATGTATAAGGGTAATTTTTGCGCATTTATTAGTAATTTATATGGACGCCATGCGTGACCGCGTGCTCGGCCCAATGTTTTTGCACCCCCTGCAATATGGCTGCGATAACCTTGAAAAGGTCTATTGTCCAGCAAAGTGCGAAGATCATATCTTCATTTAATATAATGTTTATGTTCGCCATCTTCAACTTTCAAAATTCCTGCGAAAGGTCATTCCGTGTGTTGATTTTCCATGTAAACACGGGGATTGACATCACGTTTCGATCGGGATTGCAAGTCATTCCAGATTCATGTAAACATCCCCTAAATAGTTTTATTATTCACTACCAGGGGCGGATCTAGAGTATGTCAAATCCGTCGCGCGACTGATGTTTGAAATTCAAAAATTACCTATTCATATTAATTAAAAATTCATTAATTTCAAAAATTCTTATTTTCTTATCGCATATACTTCGTGATAAAAATCCCGCATTATTTATTATTGAAAACTAATGACTAATCTAATGAATATCTCCTTGGTAACCAGATCAGTTGAATACTGGAATAACCGACTGATAAGCGGGGTGGCTTGACTGGTTCGACGGATAAAGGAGTCTATGAACGTCAAAAACGCTTATTTTATTGGTCAATAGCCAGATCAGTGGACAGTCTGGAATGGTCTCGACTGATAATAAGGGTGGCCGGACGTATAAGGGAGTCCAATTGCTATCTTACAATTGGTTCATTTGAATTTTTGCTTTATTGTGATTGGTTTGACGGATTTCGACTGATAGCCAACTGAACTAACATAGTCAAGCTCACTGTCTGAATTGAATGTTTGATCGCTTTATAGTAATTTTATAAGCATGATAGAAACTAAACTACAATCAGATGGAATTTATGGAAATCTTTACAAATTCATATATTGACATTAATGCTGCTGTCCAAAATGTGAATTTTTCAAGAGGGTGGAAATTTATGGATAAATTTTAAATGCTTGGCAAAGACGATCTCATGAGCGACATTTCAGTCATTGATGTTCAAAAGAAAGCCAACATTGTTTTGAGTTTTATCAGCAGAAATTTACATCCAAAATCGTAAGTAAAGGACAAGTGAAGTGTATGCATGAATGTAATATATCAAAGTCAATTATGCGAGTGTGTGATGCGATTTATGTCAATATGGCGTATGGTAAGCAGATCGATGCTTCTAAAATTGTTGTTGACGAAGACTTTTAGCTATGATTTCTTTAGTGCTTGGGGAATCGTGGCCGTTATACGGCAGCGAAATCCTACATTCCTGCAAATATATTTCAATGGACAAAAAATCGGTAGCCATAAGGCGCCATACTATTATTTACTTTATCATAAACAAATGTTTGGGGTTTTTCAGTTTATGATCATTGATCATTCAATCATTGGACAGTTATACTACATATTGTTTAAGATTTGAGAAAACTAACATTGATTACATGAGAAGCTGTTTACTATAACCTGTGATTTTGAGTCTTCTGATCCATGAAGCTTTTTATTTTGACAATTTGACTGGAATGGTATTAAACCTGAGTATTTCACATACATGGAATGTTGTCCCATGTCACATATTGTCCCCTTTTCTAACTGAACACCTCATGTAGAGATGTAAAGGTGTGTTAATCTACAGCTCATACCAGATTGTTTGCCATAAATTCCAAAGGGCTATTGATGTATGAAAAGCATTTTCTATAAAGTAAAATGTCTTTCTATGTATGCAGATAAACCATGAAATTTGGCAAAACAGCAAAGTATTTTCATGATCACTAGGTAATTTTTCTGATGATCATTATAATTTCTAAACTAAATTATTTCAGATTTACATTTAAACAAGCTTTGATCATATGAAAAGATATTTATCATAACCAGTAAGCATGACACATGAACCAATTTTAACATTCATGTAATTATATAATTAAAGACATGTTGGTTACATTCTGTTTGTATTTGCAAATACAATGCTACTAGTGATTGCTATATAGCACACCTTGCATATACTTACAGGAGATAATAGTCTAGTGAAATGCCTAATAAACATTTATGGCATTAAGCTGTCCTTAACTGCAAATTTTCACTCTGATAATTTTTGCTTAACCTTTGGCAGAAAAAAATTTTGAGTTTTTTCTCAAAAGGTGAATTTGCTGGCACTGATGTGGAGATGGGTAAAGGGTTACAATAAACTTGCATGGTTTGAAGTCTGAGCTTTTCTATATCTATGAACTGTCACTTGTAGTACCAAATTTCTAACTTAACTCATTACATAGAGGTTTGAATGGGGGTCTCTAGGGGGGTCTATGCCTGACAACTTGGTAGAAATTTTTAAAGACTATATCTGTTTTTGAATAGCATTATTGTAAAATAAATTTTACGTTCCTAGACATGCTAATGAGCCATATATTTGGTATGATAATGAGCCTAAATATTCAAGTATTGTTCACTTCATTTTTTTTTTTTTTTTGAAAAAAACGTAAGCAAAATGTGTTGTTTTTACGCAAAAACGATGCCCACAAATACATTTTGTATTGCTCTAAAACGCTGAAAATGGCATTTTCAAGGCTCTGAAATTCAAAATTTCTCAGGGGAGAATGCCTCAGACCCCCCCAGGTGCGGAGCGCCTTCGACGTTTTATGACTGATGTTTGAAAAATCCTAGATCCGCCCCTATTCACTACGTGAGCATTCTCGCTGTGATTGGTCAACTACCTGCAGTTAATTCTCGATATCTGTAGGTTATGACGTCATAACCTACAGATAATACTTTCTACTAATATGGCCGCCATTAAAAGCCCGTTTTGAAAACAAATCAAACAACAGCCACAGTTGTTTGCTACAGATGTTTGCCACAGTTTCGAAAAACGATATGAAAGTTTTTTAAGTTAAAAGATAAGGCAAACACTAAAAAAGCGGCGAAGTTGGCTTTGAACACATTTACAACATATTTAAACGAGACGAACTTGAATAAACCGTCTTACAAAAACAAATTATCGAATGTTTGAAAAATGTTTTATATTGATAAGTTTTGATAATACTTCAGGGAATAATAAAACAATTATTGAATCCGTGTTTCGCTTTATATTAAGAATTATTCGGACCTTGGTCAATGTTATACGCATAGCTTCGCTTCGGCAGATAACAACGACATCGGTCTGAATAATTCTTGATATCATCCTCAACCTCATCCAATAATTGCTTAATATCTGTACCTAGTTCAAATTTTTGTCATACTTTCAAAAATACTTCAGCTCAAGTACAAATGGTGATTGTTTTGTTCGTAATTGCTGAATCTAATCCTGAAGTTTTTGTGGAACTGATATCGATGGAAGTCATTCGATATCATCGCGTATTTGCACAGTAAAAATAGATTGGTCAAAATGACCAAAAAAAATTGGTCATTTGAATGCACCTGAGAAGAACAATTTTTATTGGTCAAAACAACCAATTCCTAAATTGGTCAAAACAACCAAATCCTAAATTGGTCAAATCAACCAATTCCTAAATTAGTCAAAACAACCAATTCCTAAATTGGTCAAATCAACCAATTCCTAAATTGGTCAAAACAACCAATTCCTAAATTGATCAAAAATACCAAAAACAAAATGGTTAAATTTACCAATTTATTTGACCAATTTTATTTGGTTGTTTTTACCATTAAATAAGCATTTTTTTCAGGTGCATATCCATGACCATTTGACCAATATAGAGGATCTTTTTAACTAAGCTAAAGAAAATCAATCACACAATTAGAAATAGCACATTTTTTGCAAACACAGAATACTTAAAACCTCTATTACATGCCATTAATTAACACTACAAAAGTTTTCTACTTCATAGAAGAAATAAAATTATCGACAAAAGTTGGCAATTGAGCCTTACAATTGCCACTCGAATTTAAAAGCAAATGTTCTAAAAGAATAAATACATTTTTGCCATGTCCATTAACGCCTTTAGGATACTCAGCATTAAAAGTATAAAAAGAACTAAGTAAAATAATAACTGCATTGACAATATTTTCTGTTTTCAACTTTGCCACAATCATCCCCTCAGCCACCAACATTATTGAATGAATGTTTCTTAACGTTCCTGTTGATAGGAGTCTAGGAGACGAACTTTTTTTGATGATCTCTTGAACTTCCCCCAAGTTTTTACCCTTCAACAGAGATAAAATTATTCATCAATTTTTTCACACATTTATGCAGAAAATATTATTTGTGACAATATCAACTCTTACATCAACAATGTCCCAAAATAGCTTTTTGTTCATATCTCGATAGGTGCGTTGGTCATCTAACACAAAAGGCAAACATGCCATTATACACCGGTTCTTGACCTCTAAAATAATCAACATAGCATAGAATGAATATATTACCATTATCACTCTCTAAAGCATTAACCCTTCAGTATAAATAGGGATTTTAACTTATTGATTTTTACACCAACCTTCCTCATCTTCAACTGGACAATCCTCCAGCTCTTCAAGGATACTGCTAACATTCTTTTGCTTTGTATTTTTAATAGCAGACAGCATTTTATATTTGTGCAAATTCCATTGTTCCTTCATGTCTTGCACAACATCACTCTTCTCCAAAATACCTCCTAACTCTGCTTTCAGCTGGAAAAAATTAAACCAAAAAACTAATTATCTTTCTCTAAGTAATTGTGATACCACTGACAGTTTTGCTACAGCATACATACTAATGGACAGCGGCAGATTAATAATTAGCAAAACACTCATATTCATAAATTCATATGCTACATATAATCTGTTGAATTAAAATTGTTTGTAGTACTAGAATCTAGTAAAGTATGCCATGCACATATGAATATTACCCTCTCATCAGGCTAACATGCCTGATACTTCAAACAAACTAAAAAATCAGAAAAAGAAATGAAACCTTACTTCAATTCCCTTGGTGTGTTTGAAAAAAGGGTAGTCATGCAGAAGCTTCCAAACCCTTGTATTGTTCACCAAAATGTCTCTACGCCGATGAGCAAAGGTATTGTTCATCAACACATTGATCTTGCTCAAGTCTTGCGAGCCAACATTAAACATTTCAACCAACTGCTTTTGTTGAATTACAATAGCTGCTTCTGTTTCACCTTCTGGAAGAGATGGGAGAGAATTGCAAGCTGATTTCTTACTTTTCCTACCAGGTTTTCCCTTTGGAATTAGGACCCCTTCTTCAAGCCGCTTTCGCTTTTGAGCTCGGGATGCTCTTCTTCGCAGATTAAGGACTCGGTCTGCTATTTTGTTTGCCCATAGTTGCTGGAAAAACAAAACAATGACAGTACTTTATGAAACTGAATTATGCAGCAATTTAATTGATTTTTTTAACCTACATGACCAGAACCAAATGATCCCTTTAAGAATGGATACTTTTGAATTAACATAAGAGCAATGTGTTTTCTTTCGTGAACAGTTGGCGATTCAGTATGTGCCAAAATTGAAGAAGTTAATTGCCTGTTTAATGCATTTTTTTCATTTTGATTTAGTTCCTGCCTTTTTAATGCCTCCTCCACTGCTGGTTCCCACTACACACAAACAGCATGGTTTAATATGATATGGCAATCTTTATTAACATATATTAAGCTTGTAGTGTGTAAAAAACTAAGTTTAATGGTACTTACTCTTGTTGGCAAACAAAACTTGGACAACCAATTGGAATTGTTCACATTAGCTGTCAAGGGACTCCTTGGAACATTGTCCTTGAGATGTCTCTCTGGTCCAATGTTCTTAAAAAATAGTAAAATTCAACCTTAACATACAACATAAAGAAGTAAAGAAATAACCCAGCAAAATTTTCAAAAATCCAACACTGTATTTATTGTGGAATTTATGTAATTCCACAATGAGTAACAAAAATGAAAAGTGGAATTACATCCATTCATGGAAAGAGAATGTTAATTTATGGATTTTATATAACAAAATAATTGAGTTCAAGAAAATTTCCTATGTAACTGAGCCAAACATGAAACATTGTATATTTATGAACTAGCATTAGAACAAATATTGTATACAATAATGGCTTCAGCCTTCATACCTCATCATTTTGATGATCAGCTGAAGTACTAAGAACAATGTCTTCATTTACATCCAAGTTGATGGTTCTTATGTGGCTTGAATAGATGTGCGAGTGCACTGTTGAAGTTGATTCCGACAAGCCCTGTTAATAGAGGATTGAATCATAAATTCTACTTATAGTGACACTTCATCAAACATAATACAACATAACTAAAGCATAGAGGAACAAAACAATATATAGTAAGCATACTAAATGCTTTTAAGCTAATTCAGGCAAAATAGGAGCAATGGTTCATCTGGATCCACACAATTACAACACAAACAAGTCAAGCTGGGTTGCTTGATACCTCGTCATGATTTTCTTGATGATCAGCTGAATTACTCGGAATGTCTGGATTCACATCCTTGTTGATGTGGTGCCTTGGAAAATTCCTTCCTTTAGCTCTCGGCAATGCCATTCCTGAGGATGAAGAAAAGTGGATGCATTTTCTGTTGCTCGTTAAAATTGTTGACATTGTTTTTTCACCAATCACAAACACTGATGAACTTGCTATCCTGGAAGGATACCTGGAGGAATTTTTGTGGAAATTCACCCAGCTTTATCCTGGGCTTTCAGTTATACCCAAGATGCATTACTTGGTTCATTACCCATCTTATATTTACAGGTATGATTTTGCTGGTTTGTATCTTAGTTTATAAATAAAAATATGGTATGTAACTCAAAATGCATGTGAAAGTTACATCATTGGTTTCCCTCTAGTTAACATGAGTCCTTGATTTTTTCAGATTTGGACCAATGATTCAGAGCTGGTGCATGCGATATGAAGCAAAGCACAGTTACTTTAAAAGATTGGCTTCATACCTTGGAAACTTCACTAATGTTGCATTTAGCCTTGCTGAACGACATCAAACCAGAAGTAGCTATCTAAGAAATCAACCCATTGCAAAAAAGCCTAAAATTGGTAGGATGTTTTTGAATAGATTGATTTTAATTCTAAAAAAAAGAGGTCAGTTTTTAGTAACCTCTCTAGTAAGATAATAAATTGATGTTTGTTTGTTTGTTTTTCTTTAGATTCTGCAAAAGAAATTGTTGCTAAGGATAGTGAACATTATTATTTGCTCAAAGAGAAGGAACCTAACTTAAGTGACATTAGTATTTTGTCAAGGTAAAGTGCACATAGTGATTATTTTTATTACAGAAGATGGTGACTATTGCAAGAAAAAATTGGTAGTACTTTATAAAATGAAACATCAGACAGTATCTTCATTGATATCTAATAGCTTTTTTCCTTTTTCATTTGTGTGCAGACCTTCAACTGTTACTCTTCATGGAACACAATACAAAGTTGGGGCTGTTTTGTTCCTTCAATATTTAAATGAGCTTCCTGAGTTTGCACATATTGAGGAAATTGTTGTACTGCTCGAAGAAAAGATTTTTTTTATAATGAAGAAAATGAGAACAATTGAGTTCTCTGAACATTTCTCTTCGTTTAGGGTGCACATGTCAGCTAATGCACAAAGTTTGATTGTAGATCCTCTTTGCTTAAAATTGTATTTACCGATGCATGTTACTCAGGCATCAGCCTGTTCAAAAAGGCATCTATATGTTGCAACAAGGTACCTTCTACCCAAATCAATGTGAACTAACAACATTATGTAATAGCTTTGAAATCATGTTGACTACTGCTGTTATAGTGTGTCTTCTCCAAAGTAACTTGGCAGCCTTGTTGAACAAGTCTGCTCAACTATAATAGTATCGTCTGAATTGTATCCAGATCCAGGTGCTTCCATTACATAATCTTTTTTTTCTAGTTTTTTCTTTTTGTGTTTTCTTCTCTTTCGCTTTTCTCTTTTCCTTTTTCTACTACTGCTTATATCATCATCCACTGTTTTAAAAATAAGCAACACAGACTGCAGTAAATTCAAGTAAACATCAATGAAAAATACAAATGTTAATTTTAGAGGAATAAATTCAATTTTTAACATACAAATGTATAGAAATCAACATACATTTTGGCTGTCCAATCTTGGGTTTCTCATGGTCGTACCATCAATCTATTACGGTGAAAAAAATTAAAATGCATTTCTCGAACAAAAATAAGGAAAATACATACAATGATGTCATGAAATAGTTGCGTACTAACCTTTTCATCCTGTTTTGTGCTTAAAGATAGACACGGATTATCACACTGATCCGCCATATTGAATATATATGCAAATTTAACTACTTAGTCTATATTGCCGTGAAACTGGTAGGAATTGGAACGGGAAGTTTTTAATATTTTGAAGACCGAGTTTAAAATAGTAATAAAGCTCCAGAAGTTCTCTAGTTTTAAAGTACTTTATCAAAGTATTAAAATGGTGGTAAGTTTGACGATCTTTTGAGGTAAATTTTATATTTTATGACAATGAAGTTTAAAGACAGTAAAGCGGTTAATTGATTTTTGGAGAATCGGAAGCTTTTAAGAGTTCAATCAACTACTAAAGTTAAAAGAAACTGCAATTCATTTTCAATTTCGATGGCCGCCGACGAGTGCAAAGATATATACAATGCTACCAATTTTTTTTTTGGTTAAAATTACCAATATTTTAATGGTCAAAAAGGTTTGACCAATTAAATATTGGTTGTGACCAAAAAAAATTGGTCATTTTGACCAATCTGTTTTTACTGTGTGGTTTGTATGATCAATTGAAAAAATCCCTGATGACATCTGAAGAAATCGATGAATTGTGCCTCAAAGAAGAAGAGCATAAGAAAAAAATACGAAGAAAAATCGATGAAAAGATTCAGAAAAAAATCTGAAGAAATCAAAGAAGAGCTTATGAAAGATAAGTCAGTAGAAGAATCACCAGCCAAAGTCGAATGTGCGTATGATTATCTTTTGAATTGCATCAAAAGTTTAGAAATAGAAGCTTTGAAGCCTTACAATGCTTCAAACAAAGAGGGAGAAAATTCACAAACATGAAAAAACTTAACAGTCAAAATTATATAAACATCACAAAATATTTCTTAATCGAAAGCACTTTATGCGTAGTAAATAAGACTACGCATAAAGTGCTTTCGATTAAGAAATATTTTGTATATTAAGAAATAAGACATATTCTGAAGTTCATGTACATAATATCACGTTTCTCGAGACTCGCGCGTGGGATTTCTCTATTTTAACTAAACATGCCACTTGGCAAACTTAAAACTGCCATCACAGCAAAAATAAGAGCCATCCCGAAAGAGTAGTGTATAAAAGTGATTCAAAACTTTGCCAGACGAGTACAGGTTTGCTTGCAACGAAATGGTGGACATTTGGAACACATCTTGGGAAAGCCATAAATTAACTAAAAATTGACAGAAATAGCCGAAACTCTTGTAAATAGTCTTCCATAAACTGAATGATGTGTGGTTGTAATTTGAAATAAATAGCTTTTAATTGAAGCCATAATTGAAATTTTCATGGGTACGAATCTTTTTGGGTCACCCTGTATAATCAATTTAGCATGCTGGAAGTAATTGTAATTTGGTCATATCAATGGTGCTGTTGTGAATACAATCACTCCTTATTAAGGTAAGAAGGGAATTTTATTTGTTTCACTTCATTCCATTGATTCCAGATCATTTGGTTTGGAAACAATTGTACTAAACAGTTCTTGGTTTTGACATGTTTTGGTGAGGAAATTGACTATCACCTAAATGAGAAATATCAAGATTCTGAAATCATTGAAGTATTTATTCAATAGCCAAATTTTTCTTAAAATCCCTATTCTCCATGTATTCATTGCCTACAAAAGTTTGAGAGTATTTTAAATTTAAGTTATACTTCCATCTGTAACACATGACTTTAGTAATTTGGAGTTTGTGTAGTAAGACATCATAGATGAGATTAAAAGAATTTATGTGAGATGTGATAAGTTTATTTACTGATTGAAATGGAGCATTCCTAACAACCAAATTTTACATTGAAGGTTAACTATGCAAAAATCTTAATACCTAGGGACTTCAAGCAGCTTGACTACATGATGTTGTAAACACTAAATTTCTTGGTACTTTGTGGATTAATGTATTTGTCTACCATGAATTGTTTTATTCATGTTTTATTTGCATGAGAGGGGTGTCAGCCTCATAACAAAAGGGAGCCATCTTAAAAAGCAAATAACTTATAAACATTGTTATAAATCATCATTAAGTATAAGCAGATAATAAAGTTCATGCATTAAATATTGACATTAATGCAATTATAAATCTACATCTAAAACACAACAATTTTGTCATAAGTAAACCACTTACTTGTGGACAAATCAGAAAATGTTTTAAATCTTTGAGCAGTTGTATTCTAAGGGTCTTTTCAGTTTTATAACTTCAATTTTTTTCATTAACAACAATGAAGTTTTTGCAATGCTTTCTTATTATTTGCTATTGAGTTAAATAAGTCCTTAAAAAGCTCCAATTTCTTATCTTTCAGTTTAAAAGTTGGAACTGTAGATCATGACGTGATGACGTTAAACAACCAATCATAATGCGCTTTCTGCTATTGTATGTTATCACGAAGAAAATGATAAATATGTTGAGAGCTTTGGAGGTTTTCTTGCGTCATTTGTGTAAGGTATGTGAAGGGTGTATTTACTGGGAGTGTGGAGAGATGTCAATTTTCATGCGAAATTTTATTGTTATAAAGAACTTTATTCAAAAACAATTCAAGCGAGATTTTTGTTTGTTGCAGCCTACTTCCAAAAAAATCTCTCCATCAAGTTATAATAGCAAGAGAAATTTACAAAACAAAAGTCAAATTCAAACTAGAGCACGCACCCTACTAAGTGATCTGTTTTGGATGTAGATACTAGAAAGTTTTATTTAAGGTAAAATTTCGGGTTTTTTGTAACTCAATATAAGTTAAATAGTTACAATTGTTCGGCCAATTGTAAATTTAAATAGTGGTTTAACTTACCTTTGACGGATGGTTGCGTGCGCGACAAGCAATGAAAAACAGAAGTTTGCTCACCTTTATATTCAATGTCAGAGACTTTTTCTCGAGAGATTTAATTTACACGTAAAGCATATGAAACCAAGGACGTAACAAGAAAGTTTACAGGGGGATGCATATTTAAGAAAAGCAGACTCGTACTGGCAATTTTATAGTCATTTTTAGTGACGTTCATCTTATGTATGCTACAAATGTCTAATATGTTTTTGAAAGCAGGTATTTAAATTTATTTATTCATTATGTTACTTAAATATAATAATGAAATATAGACAGATATGACATTCTTTTATTGGAAATTCTACTGTGTAGTTTACCATGCAGTTCTCGTCCTTTGTTTTATTTGTCGTAGAACAAAGGCACGTGTATATTACGTTCATCTCAAGCCAAGCTGCATGAGGTAAATGCAAATCTTGAGATCGACCTTTGGAACATCTTGTGTCGTAGATATTAGCATCTTTATGTTAATTTCAATACAGCAAATCGAAGTTCAACTCATTTTTGTTATATCGTTACAAAACGGCAAGTTCTAATAACTGTTGTCGTCATAAGTACATTTATAATTTTTCTTAGTCGATGACTTTATTTAAAGCTCTGAACAAAATGCGTTCGTTTTTCTATGTTGAATCATATTCCTGAAACTATTTTTCATATAATGTAAAGAGTATAGGAACCCTGCAGTTTGCTGTAAGCTTTGCGACAACAATAACATTTACGGTGATCCAAATTTCTTCGCAATTTTACCATTAAATTTTCCGTTTTTTATTGGTTTATTATGGGTTCATCCTGGTCAAAACTAGTCTTAAAAAAAGAAGAACAACAACTTTTAGAAAAAGCCAGACAATATGTGAAGACAAAAGGACTTGATGGTATACGTAGTTTCCACAATGAACTAGAAGCTACATGGGAGAGGTTTGAGTTATATTTTGCCATAATTGGATCAAGCAATTCAGGAAAGTCGTTATTCATCAACAACATAATAGGGTAATTCATTATTTAATCTTGCAATTAACGATAACTTGAGAAGGATACTAAGGCTTGGCTGATTTGTTTTTGCAAAACTTTGAACAAATTTGAAGCATACGAAGAAGTGTCATCACTAAATGACGTATCACCTTTGAGAAAAAGGAATCCTCATCCTAAATACCAATATGTCAAACTCTGTGATCTACCAGGCATCGGAACACCTGAAAATCCCAATGTTGTAACATATTGCAGGAACATCGGTGATCTCAAGAAGTACGACGC